AAAAAAAAAAAAAAGTTGGAGAAAGAGTAGTTAATGGAAGAAAACATAATTTTAATAATGTAAACTGATGTGATTGGGATGTGAAAGGGAAATAGTAAAATAATGAGTTATATATATGCGAGTAGATCAAATATAAAAATTCATAAAGTAATTTGTAGTAATGATTGATTTTTAATTTAAAAAGTTGTATTGGAAAATTGACGAGAGAAAAATAGAGATGAATGTATAGAGTATATTTTTGTTGAAGAATGACAAAAGTTCATTTTCTTGTATCCAGTTGTATCCTTGTGCTCTTAAGGCGATTATTTTTGCATCTTAGAGCTCTTTTCGTTGGGCTCATCCAACACATGCGTAAAAGAGTATTTCACAGCAGAAAAGTCTGCAGTCGGAATAGCAAAGGCAAACCTTGTTTCCTTCCCCTTTAGGCTTAAAGAACTCATCATCCTCACTTTCCTCTTCACCAGTGTCTTCAACCTGGTTAGAAGACTTTGATTCAGGTTTCCCATACACAAGTTGCATAAGGTTCATGTTCTGTCTCGAGGCAGTTATATCATTCAAGGATTCCTTCCATTTGGAAATATTTCCCATCCTCCCATCTTCTGCAAGAGCAACAATCAAACAATGAAAAATATTAGCACATCAAAGAGAATGAAAACAGAATCTGAAAGAGAAGATGAAATAGACAGTCTCTGAAATCATAAATGAACACACCATTATCTTCTTCATCTGAATCACCATCTTGATCATCTTCATCTGAATCACTGCCCTGATCTTCATCTGAATCACTTCCTTGATCTTCATCTGAACCCTGCAAAAGGTTTGAACCACATAGTGGATCAAAATAAAACGCAACTTTTATTACAGCTTACAGCGCATTGGTTTATTTTTAGTTAGAACCACATTAGGAAAGAAGAAAATGGAAGAAAAGAAAAGCATAAATCATTAATACAAAAAACCACATCAAAAATGAAAAATTAGTCATAGCAGAATGTCAGCCCAGGCAAACTCACAAAAATTTAGTTATTGGGAATCTCGCATATGTGATTTCAAGGTGTTCATTAGCTTTCAAATTTTAGGTTTGACTTCACTGATTAGAAGCCTTGAGACGAAATTACTCTGCAGCTGAAACAAATTTATTGATCATAATATTCCACGGAAACCGTATTTTCTTGAAGAAGGCTACAAAATTTCCTAGTGTACAAGTTGTAAAGCTCAGAAAAAATCTTGCTCTTGGAGAAGCGTTACTTCCACTTTTACCATAATTAAAAAACATAGATTCTATAACAATGTCAATGTTGGCATATACTCCCTCCATTCTAGATTACATGACTTTGTGAGTTATATATATCTTCGTAGATTAATTGTTGTTCTAAACAATTTTTACTTATAATTATCGTAAGACGGAGGAGACAAAAAAGTATGGAGAATACAGATTTCATTAATGTAAAAGGGAGAGAGGAAGAGGGAGAGAGAATAATAGTAAGAGAAAATATCTAATCAGTAGATTGAGGAGACTTGATATAAAGGTATATGAGCCAATGCAATAATTTGTAATTATGAAATTCTAAACTACATCTTTTTAGAAACAGGAGTATTTGTTAGGTAATAAATATTTCATAGCAAAGTTTAAGAAGACATTAGATTTCCCATTACTTAGGTTAGTTAATGCTAGTTAATTTCGAGTAAACAACATACAACCTAATCGAGCTCCACGCAAACTTAGCTGTGCACTAAAAAGCAGATGAAAATGTGAAAAAAATTACCTCAAAATTATCAACATCCATTTCGTTTTCGAAAACAGTTTTCCTCCTCACCCTTCCCTCATGGATATCAATTTGTTCCTTATAGTTGTTTTGGGCCTTCCGAGTCCGAGGGTGTTGTCCTGATAAATAGAAATCTTCCTCATCAGAACTATCTTCTACAACTTCTTCACCAAAAGTTTTACCTCCATCTGAAGATCCCAGACCATCTTCATCCCCAGGATCAATGTCTTCATTTGGTTCATCATCATCATCTTTCATCTCATATTGATACTGCTCTATGGGCTCCAAAGGTTCACCCCGCTCAGTCTCTTCATGAGCAGCAGAAACTGAACGAATTAGAGCTTGAGACGACGACTCAGGTCTCTTCCCAAATAGTGATATGAAACTCTGTTCCAACTTCTCGTCAACAGAATACTTCGTGTTTTGTAATGACTTAACCAATTCAACACCAACATCACGCTCTTTTCCTGTCATTGAAAACCACACTGTTAGGAAGAGAAGTAAAAAGTAAAAATGACAAGGAGAGCATACAAGAATAAATGACAAAGAAGAAAATTCCAAAGAGTTTAAAAAACGAAAGTAAGATATAACCTTTGGATGTTCCATCGGTATTGGCTCCATCTTTAGAAAACTGCACAAGATGGTCATTTATATTTATATAGACAGCATCCTTATCATAAAGGAGATCCCCCAACCCTGACATAGGTGCATAGAACAGCTTTTCCTTATCTCGCAGACCCTTCTTTTTAGCAGCTGACGGTAGAGGGCAAGGATCAGGCAGAGCTGTAATTCCAGTCAAAGAAAAATCACCCACTCCAGCAATATGTGCCTGCTCAAAGCAAGGTTATTCAAATTCAGACCATATTATAAGACTTGAAATCTGCAACCACAATCTGTGTGTAAGAAAATTACAGAAATTGGATAAACAAGCTGCCAAAACAGAGAAAAACTAGGAACATACAAAAAAATAGCAGAACTGAAGCCAAGTTGTTGGTTGGGTTGGGGAAAACAAGACAGTGAAAAAAAGAAGAAAATCCCTCGGAAGAGAGCTATACAAATTTAAGCTTTATCAAGTTTGCACATGTTAACACATATATGCAATATTGACGACTGGGCAAAAACAAGAGAATCGTTCAACTATAAACACCTGACTAAACACAAAAATCAAGTTAGGCTATTCAGGTGTGATAGATAAGAAACGATAGGACCTATGGATGAAGAAGACAAGCTCCATAAAATTGCTAATCACACCATCCAAACCTAAAACTAAAAGTAATAACTTAAAATAAACCTATTAAAAGTTAAACAGTAGTGATGGTCACAAAATATCCGTTTGTAATTGAGATTTCATGAATAAGAGCAAAACATGCAATTTGTACTTTTAAATTTGAACTAACCGGCAGACATGAGTCAGCAGTAAAAGGTAACATCATCAATGTGCAAGAAACTGAATAGAAACTATGTACCTTTGTTCCCTTCTTCATATTACAGCCACGCAAATAACCATATAAGATAGCAGTTCTGTCACATTTATTGTTCGTTCGAACTTTCTCTTGGGGGGTGACATCTTCAAACCGATCTACTAAGATGTAAGGATGTGAAAGTCTCCAAGATAAAGGAGGGAATCTCATGACAGAAATAAACCTCGCTAGGTTATGTACTTCACGTTTGGTATACCTGCCAGCAAGCAAGCAATTAGAAGAAGTGTAAGATTGCATCCATCAATAAGTAACTATGAAAAACTATAATGAGAGTATTCCTGCACTTACTTTCCATGAATAAGGCCAGATAAATAAAATAACTTTGCACCGGCATAGATCTCAGTCCAGAAACGGTGCTTGAGACGCTGTTTTGTTTTCTTAAGTTTCTTTACATCCTTGAATTTGTCCAAATGTGTAAGGACGCCCATTACTCTAGGGAAACCATGATTTTGCAATATGTTAAGGAACTCAAAGGTTTCCTGCGAACAAAGTTAGATCAATGGATTGACAAAATCCCTCAGGTGGAACTTTGAACATTTAAACAGGTAGGTGTTTTCAAAATTTTCACAGCATTGATTATTAAGAGCAAAGTAGTAAATCAAAGGAAATAATGAACAACACCATGTAAGCATTTATCCAAAAAATCAGTGGTTTTAATAGGATACTATTGTATTTAGTGCGTGACAACTGACAATAGAACATTTAGACTGCAATATCCTACAAATACATTTTCATTTTAACATCGCTCCAAATAAGATTGCTTATAAAACTTTCAAGTACATATATATATATATATATATATATATATATATATATATATATATATTCAGTAACATCCACTCTTTCGCTCACCACTCATATCAATCATTATTATCTTTTCAATCAAATCATCCATCATTATAACACAAATTCTCAATACACCTTTAATCTCAAATACCAGCTATTATCTTACAATAAGATAAGAAACCAACTTTCATGTCATTCTAATCATATATCAGAAGTCCAAACTCACTCAAACCTTTCATTCAAAAACTTTGTCGCTATTCTCCACTATAAAAAAATTCCTAAATTGAATTAGCCTGCAAAATCTAATATGACGTCCTTATATCAAAGCTCCGTGGATATTAGAAACAGCACCACAAGCATACCATTTCAAAGCCATAGCTTCCGTCAATGAGGAGAAGGGCTAGATCAGCAAATTTAGCACAATCTATCATCCCATTAATATCATTTGGGCACTCCACAAATTGAAGTCGTCTCTGCTTACCTAAATCACAAATCAATCAATCGATCATAGAACACGTCAGGTAGACACAACTCAAAGAAGAGAAACTCTTAAAACAAGAATACATTAACTCGTTGAGATTATTGAATCATGTGATCACATAATGCACACAAAATTAAAAAAGAAACAACCCTTGCCCACGAGCTAACCTGATACTATAGTAATTGGCCCGCGAACTTCAGGCAAATTGTGCTTCGTGTAATGCTTTACCAGAGACTTAATCAGCAACGACTTCCCAACCTACATATAACCAAATCTTCCAAATTCCAGAATCAACTCTTGGAAAGCAGCATATATATCTAGCCGAGAAACAGATTCAAGAACACAAACCTGTGGAGGTCCCTGAACCACAACAACAAATGGAGCAGGTTCTCCTGTAGTCCGGTCAATAGTGGGGACATGGAGCCTTTTCTGCTCCTTCTCTGTAGCTATCGCTTGCAGACGCTTGGCTTTCACAGTTGAAGTGAATGCAAATGCCTGACACAAGCCGATAATATATGCACACCAAACTAATTCATCATCATAGAATCAAGCATACCGTGACGCAAATACACTAAGATATATGAAGACTCAGTATGGGGAAGGATTCAAAACCCGTCATGAATTTCAAATCCACCCACCATGTCAGGTACAGTCTCAAAACAGTGAATATGAACGAAATCCCTCAAAAAAAATTCATTTTTTGAGGATTTAAAATTCTTCCAAAAACCCAGAAATATATCCTTGTATTTCCTACACCAAGAGATACTTGTTCATTTTTCTAATACACACACAAGCATAACTCCACATGAATACACGCACACACACACACACACGGAGAGAGAGAGAGAACAGATTTCACAAACACAAAACACAAACACAAACACAAACACAAACACAAACACAAACACAAACACAAAAAAGATACATTTCACACACACAAATTACCAATGTTTCACACACACACACCACATGTTTTTCACACAATGCCCATACAAAAAGTTCATAGATACTACATTGTTGAAATATTATATTTTTTGATAGCTCAAATTGATTTATACAGTTCGAACGCTCGTAGAGAAAGCTGAATGAGATGTTCAATAACTATTGAGAAAAAAATAACGTAGTCAATTTGCAGTTTTTAAGAACTCACATCACACCCTACCAGGGATCATAAATGAAAGGAACTTCAATCACTCAATCGAACACAACCTGATTAATTAAACCCACAATGTATGACAAAGACGAGCTACATGTCATTACGGTAGCTAACCATACTTTTGTTCCACTACACGAACATAACTAAACATTCTTGATTTGCAAACTAGAAAGTAACATAGAGTGGTAACATTCAATCACCCACAGAAACAACAAACATGGGCGCACTCCCCCTTCTGTTCACCTGAACCTCCACACACTCACCAATACAAAAGTTACTGACTTTTACACACGCTAGAATACAGAAACCCACTTTGCAAATAGCAACTAGTACCTTAGGATTGTGAAGCTTTTTCTGTTCTTTCGAAAGATCTTCATCCAAATTCGGGTTCGACTTGGATTTTTTCTTGGCTGAAGCGCCGGATTTTCGAATCCTGTGAGACTTGTGAGCCTGCTCGTTTCTATCATTTTTCTTCTTACTCTTCTGGTCGCTTTCGTTCACCATGATTACTTCACAAATCACCTGTGCACGATGGAGACAATGAAAGAGGCGACCAGAAAATTGAGGTTTTAAGCGAAAGGGCAAGAGGGTTTTTGAGGGATGCGACGACGTTAGACGTTTTATAAGGGCAGAATTTCGATCAAATATTTTATTTTTTCATTTTGAGCTTATTTATTTTCCAATTTCACTTATACTAGTTTGACTCCGACTGTGCACAGCACCGCCGATCCCAACTTCTCTTTTATTTATTTGTATATTAATAATTATAATTATTATGTCCTATATTATGTAATAATATTTTCAATTGATGTTCTGTATAAGACATTATTATAAAATAATGGCAACTAAAAAGCTCAACCTCAAATACAACAAACTAGTACAACACCCGTATATCACACGGGTGCTTGTTAAATAATTATTCTTAAATTTTAAAATTAATGAGAAAACTATATTAAATTTAGTTTACTTTTAAAAAAAATATATTACTATATATTTTAGAATGATATGTGTTACTTATGACTTACATGTGTTATATTATATTACGTGTTATAACTTATATCATATAACTACTTGAAATATAAATATATTAGTTGATAAGTAATTTTATTTTTCTAATTAATATTAAAAATAATTTTATTATTGTTATAAAGATAAATATAAATTATTCTTTATACATACAATATGGATGTTAAATCGAAGCGCATCAAAAGAAGATTAATTTGATATATTACATATGTAAAACTGATAAAAAATACAAAAGTTATTAAATTTTAAAATATATATACAATTCAATAGTTATAATGAGGAATGATATTAAAATTTAAAATGCAATTAATACATTTAACATTACCATAAATAATCAACATATTTATGGTAATCCGAACCTAATTATTTTTTGTTTGGAATTAAATTAAAATTTACCCAAGTCTAATAACGAAGCATGTAATTTTGCCACATAGGATTCCGAAGCACCAGAAGCAGTCACGTAGGCTCAGCGCGTTCTGTATTAATATATAGGGGGATATTGAAAACAAAAATAGACCACAATAACAACCAATTAGCAAATGGAAAGTAAACTACATCTTTATGCATAAATAAGCAGGCAACAGCAAGAGTTTAGGCAAACGAAATTCATTATAGTTGGATTACATGAAAATCATTCACTTTTTTGTTTGATAACATATAGGCTTCCAACGCTGAAGATAGATAATATCATATATAAATTTTCACTCTAAGTAATCACTTCGTGGCGAATGAGTATCCAAACTTCAAAGTAATCTCTCCACAAATGACATGTACATGCCATTCATTTGTTCAGCACACAGAGATTGCATAAGCCATAAGAACCTGTTTCGATAAATATCACACGAGCATTCAACTTTACTTTTCAATATAAAGTCATGAGTGAAATCCAAATAGTAAACATCTTCAACTATTAAATCAGCCCCAATTAATATTAATAGAATATGTAAGATTATCACAAGTTATTTAACTCAGCCTTAATTTTATTAAATCAGTCCCAGTTCCTATGAAGATAAATATGCCTCAACAAAGACATCAACGAAACTCCAACTTAATCATTGGAAAAAAATGAAATTTTGTTGTGTTAATTAACACAAACAACAAATATTTTGTGAACTTCCAAATTCCAACTGGGACATAGTAAGAAATGGAGCAACATAAAACCACAAAAAACAAAGTTTAACATCAAACATTGATTAGAGGTAAAATTTGTACATAATAGGAGCAAAACGCAACAAAACCCATTCCACAACAAAAGGTGTCCATAGTAGGCTATCACAAAACAATGTTTCTTCTCATGAGAAACAAGTTGCATAGACGTTCTAGCAATTTAGACTTAGTTTAGCAACCTGACATAGAGATGCTAAATCTATTCTAAACCGATAACAAAAGTAGTTCAAAAAGGGCTCAAGACAGTTAGGGTACAACGCACAATATTAACATAAGACATAGAATCTATAGCATTGTCAAATATAAGCAAAAAGAGCTGTCTTGGCATACTAAAGCACCACCCTTAGGCCTGGGTGCGTGCTTTCTTGAGTGGGCTGTCAGACAGATTTTCGTCGCTAGTGCCGCTGCACTCACTGGAGGTTCCAGCCACATAATCATTGCTCATCCCTAAATTGCTATCCATTCAGTCAGATGTTTCAGCCTCAAAGTTTAGCACGCGCGTCACACTTGCTTTTGGCTGCCTCTGCACGTCAGAATTTGGGCGGCTACCTCCTCCAGACATGCTTTTACGCTGGGAGTGAACAATTGTGATTCTAGCGGTTCCTACACAGGGATAATCGTCAAGTGTTTATGTATTTTTGTTGCGGGGTAAGTTGATGTACATCATATTAAAAAAAAAAAAAAAAAGTATAATAAAGTACAACAACCTTATCTTCAGACTGTGATTATTCAGTTTGTTTCTCATCTTCAATAGGAGCCGGTTCATCTTCCTCGTCTTCATCCTTTTACAGCTTGACAACCGAGTAACTTGGTCCATTCATATTGAACATTCTGACAAAGGAAACAATGTGTTTGTCCCTCATGTTTGCATCAAGCTTGTCCAATATTATGTATTCACCTTGCATGTGCATATGTATGAGGATGAAAGGATTAGCAATTGTACCAATATTCATTGAATGACTTGCAGCACTTACACAACTAACACATTATGCTAGGTCATGTGGTTAAATAAATGAATATTTCAATTTAAATTTACTCCACAGAAATGAATGAAAAGAAAAAAAAACTAACATTGGTTTAAATATTAGAAGTTTATGAAACCTTTAGCAATGTTTAATAGGATTTTACATTTTTTTTTTCTTTGTTAAAGATGAACAACCTTTTCATCAGCCTGTTGGAGTTGTACTCCACTGAATTTGGTTAGTAGCTCAGCATCTTCTCCGTATACCACGGCAGCAATAAAACCAGTACCGTCTTCAATTTTGATTGGAATCCTTGCCCTATGTCAGTTTGCAAAGCGATCATACGATAACATTTTTTTAATATTAATGTATTTGCACATTTATATTTTGCATAGCATTGCTACAAATACCTTGTTGTAATCCGACTCTGCCTATTGCATGAGTTGCATATTATTTCCAAGGTGACTTGAAGCTCGAATTTCTTGCGGCAATTCATACATGCATCAAACCATAGAGGTTGGTGTATGGCTCCCAAAGAAGTGGTTTATTGTATCCATGCAGTTTGAATCTATTTAAAATCGAAACAGAAGAATTTATTAGACCAAAACATTAATTCAGAAGGTATTGTATGTCTTATGAAAGATTTGAGCATAATTAGCTTACGTTTCGCTCAGGATATATTAATGTATGCAGAGTGATAATCCTATCAGGCATAGGAGGGAGCAACAAAGCCGAGATATCCTTATAAGATCCGACAAATATCAACTGTCCAATCTCAACCTTGTTGTTAATGTACCTTGTGGACATAACATAAGACTTAAACTCAGGGTTTTGAATTAGACGATGTTGAATTGAATGAATTGGTAGCCCTCTTACCACTGTTTAAGTGTTGTGACTTCAAGCAAAGGTGGATTCATCATAATAGCGCTTTGAACCCGAGTAGATAGTGAAATGTCAGCCATGCAATAAAAAATTAAGGTACTTTTTAATAAATTATCAAAGTTGTTGGGTAATGGTCAAACTTTAAGGTACCATTATAAGTTGTCACCCTAACACGCATGGCGAGAATGACATTGTCGGCATTAATGGTAGCAGCAAGTTGAGCACCTTCGGTAGTGGCAAAATCATTCCATAGTGTTAACATGATTGGCATATTCCTACATAGGTAAAAAATGTTGTTAATTTGCACCATAGTATCTTAATATTACAAGCTAAAATTTAAACAAATAGTAATTTGAACTTACTCTTCATTAATAATCAAAATATCTCTGTTGACCAATCAAACCCGAGCTGCTTCTCTTCAAACGCATATGCCACAACACCAAGAACATCTACAGATTAAAAAAAATAATGCTAACAATTAAGCATAGGGTAATCAACAATGTGTTTATTAATGAAGCTCTTTGTAGATTACTTGTATCTACAGAACGATGTAGATTGCGAAATTGTTTCAGTTCAATGTGGTCGTACATCTGAGGCACGATCTGTTCTTCACATGGTTGGATTAAGGTGTTGTTGGTGATGGTCCAAGAGAACCCATAGTCACCAACCCAGTATTTCTCGCCAACCTTCTTCAAGGCAGCTCCAGAAACATAGTATCTTTTAAACGGTAGCAGGAGTGGTGAAGAGGGCCTTTATGTTGTTGTTGTACGCCACAGCCGATACATTTGTCCCCTAGTTTTGTTCCCATAACAAAAAAAAGTATATAAACAAAGAAGGTAATGTTCTATTACTTAAATGGTGAGTGCAAGTATATTAGTGGTGCTAAGTAGTAACTCACCACAGCATCAACAAATAGAAAGATGTGGTAGAAGGGTTGGGTCCTTCTGACTCACAAGTATATGACTTCGTTCGACGACTTGTATCAATGTCGTCCACCCCCTAACATCCGGTTGCATCTTCACAATTGACAATATGTTCTTCATGATTGCCTGGAAATGATATTAAATCTGAGTTAGTACAGAAAAATAAAACAACAGCACTATTTTGTAAAAAATGAATGCTTTGTCATTGAGTTCTTCTAAAAACAATTCATGGGTTGGTATGAGTTGATTAAGTTCATGAAGTTGACTGAGCAGTACCCAAAAAAATCAAAGAAGGTAAGCGTTATAGAAAAGTACTTACACTTTGTATGTTTATAACTTGGAATGATTTGGTGGGCTTCCTGAGGTTGGAGGATGAGTATATATAGAGGAACTGAACTATCCTATGAAGAACAAATATGCACAAATAGATTGTTGTTATGCTATGTAGGTCTTCAGTAGTAAAGATCTTTAATGATTTGTCATATCTAAGGTACCAGACTGCAATATCAACCTTAAGTAATATTTTGATAGATTTTTTTTCTAT